TTCAGTTCCTTCGTTTTTGAAATATGTCCACGGAATATTCGATTCACTGACACTTTAACTATGCCTCTTCACACAATTTCATTATGTCATAAATGTTACGCATAACGCGATCAATATAGACAATACATTCCGATCTACTGCTAGTATCTGGATTTCAATAATTTCAAAGGGCATATTAAACAAACTATGAAATGAACTCTCAGTATATAGATGATCAATATTTCTGCATATCATGTAAACCTTTTATAGTTTTTATACACACATGTGTATGTGAAATTTAATTTGTAATTTTAATTTAAATTTTGGAAGAATATTTTGTTAAAATTGTTAAGTATGGTTGAATAGCTTGTAGCTAAACTGCGCCCTAAATAAAAGCCGTTTAGTTTGAACTTTTTCTTGATACCACACGTCCTTTAGCGCGGAACCTTTTTTTTTTGCTATTTATCACTTATCAGTAATTTGAATTTCTCTTCATTGATAATAGAGTGCCCATTCCTAGGCCAAACCCTTTTCAATGATTTTCTTTTTGCAAATTTACGAGTTTATTGATTGTGTATTATATCTTTCCTTCTCAGCGATTCAGTATGGTGTTGACGATCAGCAAAAAACTCTGTAGTTTTTCTCCGTTAGTTGGTTTCCTATAAAACATATCTTCTCTTCAAGGCCACCCAAGATACCTTCTTCTAGATCGTTACGTGTTCTGCGTGATGCGCTTTTCTGTTTCCGTTGAGGTCGTGGTACAGGGGTCGTTTCATCATTTTCCCGAATCTGGGGTATTAAGCCCCAAGCGCCAATTCATGGACTATCACCCTTTTTTGTGTAACTTAAGTTTAGTCATATTGATTTGGGTGCTACGTCTTTCATTTTTTTATGGGATTTTAACCCTCAGCATCAATAGAAACAGAAGAGAATCGTCATCCTTTCTCCTCCAGTTGGTTGCATCTTGTTGCTGTTTTGCAAATTGGTGGAAGCCGTCCCCTTGAAAAACAGTATAGAGAAGATATTACGACCTAATGCTAGATATCGTGATTTTAATAATTTCAAAGGGCATATTAAACAAACTATCTTTGATGCACAAATCTAAATGAACTTTCAGTATATACGAGCCCCTTCCCACTTCACTTGGCCCAACTCTTGAAACCTTAGTTTTTTCTCATCAAACACAAATAATAAAAATGTAGCAGGGTGCTATAGGTTTAAAATATTAACAATGAATATTTTGATAATATATAGTAGAAAACACCAACTTTATCACTCCCTACTCAAATTTGCAGCATAAAAATAACACATGTTGCAATTACAGCATATCAACCTATCTTCATTTCAATGCAAAATAAGTCTATAACGCATGGGTGGCTGTGAAAAATAAAAGTCACGACAATTGTTTTTATTAATCACAGCTGTCAGAATACGTTTAAATTAGTTTTGGGTAGTTAAGGTTTTCAAAATGGGTAGACGAAAGGTTATTAGTGAGAAAATTCGGTTACTGATAATTAAATTTTTTAATTTTGGGAAATCAAACTCAGAAATTGCAACTTTGTTAGACTTATCGCGGTACAGTATGAGAAATATTGTTAGAAGATATAACGTAACTGGTTCAGTTAGTATTAAGCCACGATATATGAAAAAGAGTAATATCACAAATGCCGACCGAAGAGCATTAAGAAGAATAATCGTAAACAGGAGAAGGAGAATTTCGAGGTCCACAACTCATAGAGAGGCCCACAAACTGGGATTTATCACTTGCAAGGTAAGTTTTCTTATAAAAAAAAGTGAAGTAAAAATCCTAAAGTTGCACAACTTGTTTATAGGCCAAAGAATAGCCACTATTAACTCCACTGCAAAAGAAAAATCGGCTTAGATGGGCTGAAGAACGTAGACAATGGACACCTCAACAATGGTGTGCAATACAATGGAGTGATGAGGCCCGATTCAAAGTTTGTGTCGGTGATAGTCGCAGTAGAGTTATTCGCAAAAAAAATGAAGCATTCCATGTTGACTGTCTGAAGAGAAAAGTGACATTTCCAGCATCCATTATGGTCTGGGGCAGTATGTGATCAAAAGGAGTAGGAAAACTTCATTTTATTGATGGAAATATGGATACAAACAAATATTTGGCAATTTTAGAAGAATCGCTTTTACCAGTGATGGAAGAATGTTTGACATCCGGCCAAGATTTTGTGTTTCAGCAAGATGGTGCAGCGTGCCATACCTCAAAAAAGGCTATAAAATGGATGGAAGAAAATAATGTACCACTTTTGAAATGGGTTTCTAGCAGTCCAGATCTGTCACCTATTGAAACTTTGTGGCACGAGATGAAAAAGGTTCTACCACAACATCCTGCTCGTAGTTTTTGCCAAAGCTTGGTTAACACTATGCCCCAAAGAATTTCAGCCGTAATAAAAAATAAAGGTGATGTTACTCAATGGTAATCTTTCAATTGTTGCTTTGTTAACTTCGCGCATTTATTCGCACATTGTTTATTTGTTCAGATGTTCTATTAATTATAGGTCTAGGTGATGTCAAATATGTATTTTTTATGACTAGAGTGTATCTAAAATGTGTTTGAGAAAATAAATTGTTTTCGAAGTAAATAGTTTGGTCATACATATTTAGTTTATAAAGGCATATTTTGGTACAAATCTTGAAGTGGGCCAACTGAAGTGGGAAGGGGCTGGTAGATCATCAATATTTCTGCATATCATATAAACCGTTTATAGCCTTTTTATACACACATGCGTATGTTATATTTAATTTATAATTTTAATTTAAATTTTGGAAGGATATTTTGTTAAAATTGTTAAATATGGTTGAATAGCTTGTAGCTAAGCTTCGCCCTAAATAAAAGCCGTTTAGTTTGAACTTTTTTTTGATACCACACATCCTTTATCTCTTCTGCCATTAGAGCGTACTTCTCACGGTCTTCTCCCGTTTTATTTATTATTATCAATTATTATAAATAGTATGTACCTTGTGGCGTGCAAAAAATATTGCTTCCTTTTCAACTTAGCGGCCTCTTTGTCTGGAGGTAGACGAAAAATCTGACGAACTTCTCCCACCAATAGTTTGTCAAAGTTGATGTTCATCTTCGTCCTGTACGATGAAAGATTACTGAAGTCCCTTCGCTACCGGGTCATAACTGCTCGACTTTTGCGCAATGTAGAGGTACATGTTGCACCATCAATACGGTCTTACTACCGCACAATATTTTTAATTTTTCAATCGGCAGTAATCACTTGTTTGTTTCCATGTATCTGCCTCCAGAAGGACTAGAACTACACCGCACTGACGAGTTGCTAATGAGCACGAAACAGCGCTCTCTGCACTTGGTCAAGGTTAGACATACGCAAAGCAAACGTGTCCAACTCAAGACTTAACCCGTTTTCTATAATAATCGTTATGCCTAGAATTACCGAAATTTTAAGGAAATATACCGAGTCACAAAAAAACCTTTTTTTCTCACTCAGTATATATGAATCAACGTTACATTTGGATCTGAAAATACAACTCCTTTGTGTCCGCCATCTTTTATTCAAGCAGCGCCAACTCTATGAAGTATTCTCCCCCATTGAGTGACGTAGCTTGACCTGCGACTCCACCCTCGGTTCCCGGTTTACCCAAGGTTATTAGGACTAAAACTTTTAAGAAGTACTTTGCCTCAGACATCATAATCATTATCAGATTATATCAAGCACTTTCCCGGTTCCTCTCAAGACTAGAGTTCGTTGGTTCACACTTTTCTGGATTCTTCTGCTTTTACAGACGGGGGATTCTCTCGTTTTTCTGGCAGATGCAAATCTGAACTGCTCCTCCAATTCCGTCGAGGATCACCGAGTGCAAATTAAATCTCCAATTACAAATAAACGGGAAAAGAAAAAATACTAATTGAGAAGTAACTCGAGCAGAAATTGCATTCGGGGTGACAGTTTAAGCATTTCCAGTCGGTGCAGGTCAAAGTGGAGTAATAAGTTTTCTAAACAGATTTGTACTGTTTACGTCTGTTGATCAATAGATAATTAGGTAACTTCCTCTCTCATTTCCCACGCAGAACTTTGGCAAGAACTATGTTCTCATTACTTTGGGAGAAAGTGGCTATTTGTTTTTATGCTTAAAATATACGGACCGGTCAGAGTCTGCTATTGATTGAAAAAATGGAGAAACAGCTAAGAGCAGGTTTTAGAAGGGTTATAACGTTTACATTGTAATGTGAGCATAGTACGCCACTGGAATACACCCCTACAGGGTGACTTCGGAGTTGAGTCATTTATTTTATCAGTGATTAGATCTGATCAAAAGAAATGTTTTTTTCCTTTAACATTTTTCTGGAAAAATTAAAGTAACAAAGTTATAGTCCTTTAGAAGTTTGAGTACCGCCCTGTCTCAATAATAACATTATGTGCTCCTGTTTGGCAACAACGGATATAATCCGCCTTATCGGTTCATCGCATCGGAAACAAAAAAGCGAAAGAATTTGAAACGCTTATCACGATGTTTTTACTACAATTTTATTCAGTTGTATTCAGTCAATGTGTCAGTCGGTAACGCGTGAGTGAATAGTGGTGTTTGTTGCGGGGCTCAAACGAAATAAAAAATGGCACATGTTTACCAAAATGCTGAACTTGTGGACATGATTCTTATTTAAGTGGGGGTGGGGTGAGTCTTTACAAAATGCTGCCGCGGCATCACGGATTTATGCGGATCGGTTTCCCAATCGAGTGCAACCAACCCCTCGTGCCTCTGTTAATGTAGTACAAAGGGCTCGTGAATCAGGTGACTTAAGACCTCACAGGGGAGGGCATGCTGGTGCTCCAAGACCGCACGATCAAATACAGGTCCGCACTGAAATACTTGTCGGGACGATACTTTTTTTATTTTTACACACATATTTTGGTTTATCTTCCTTCTACAATCATTATCTGAAAATTAATGACTCAACTTCATGAGTTACAGCCAACTTTCATATTTGAGAAATTGCTTTTTTCAGAAAATTTTTTTTTTAGTGAGGGTTACAATGGGAGGCAGTGCATCGTGCAGGGTATCTGCGACACAGCATTAGCAACGTTTCATCATGATGAAAACGGCCTTTACGGAGAATTGCTTCATATTTTGTTCTCGTAAGTAGCATTGCCCATATTTTACAGGTGGATACAGGGGCCCGAGACATAAATTATCATGAATAATTTACACATAATTTGGTAGATGGTCCTATAGCTAGTATCTAATGGAGTGTCGCAAATTGCAAACAAAGTGCAGAGGGGATGCAAGGGTGGTTTTCGAGAAAGGCAATTATTCTAATGGGAAAGCCAAATGATTTTTCAGTCACTACCCCTAGCTAGGAATCGACCGATACCACTGAATTCACTCTAGCGAGAAGAAGTTAGTCTAGGATTTGTTTGTCTACTAATTCTCATAAATACAAACTGCAACAAAAAATGAAAGATTGATATCTAAATAACACAAAGATATTTTTCTCACTCAGGCACCGACCGGTATCGAAACTAATTTACTTATCATTTCTGACATTCAAAAGTCGATTAAGTTTTGTTAGTAGAGCTAATGAGAATCATTCATTTAACTGAAATCGAGAGAATAGAAATTCTAATGATTCTGGGTTATGGCGATCATCGTCGCCCACAGCAAGAAGTTTGCGATATTTTTAATGACAAATACCCCGACCGGAATTCAATAACAAGGTCTACTGTTGGAAAAGTCTTGAGGAAATTTGAAATAACTGGACATGTAAAGGATGGTCCACGATCTGGCAGTTCCAAAGCAGCCGCTGACGAAGCATAGCAACTTTATACTAGATCACTCGAATAGAACAGTACTATTATACAGGGTGGCGCATCGAAAACGCAACATACGCATTTACTGACAGCTCAGTTTTTTATTTTGGAAAAACGCTCAGACCCGTCGACTTTGTTTTCGAGGGGACACAAGTTTGGCAAAAAATCACGTTAATACGTGCAGTCCCCTGGGCGGGGGTGACACCAACCCTAAAATCTTAAATGGAAAGGGGGGTCGAGTGATACCTTATTTTAAATGTCTTTCAATTCCCTTTCTAATGATGTAAAATACATGAGCCTCAGTTCAGTAGTTGTAGTGAGACCATGATGGACATGTGTAATAGAAATGAACAGTTTTTGTACGATGAGTCCGGCTTTCCTTTGAACGCAACTCTCAGTCGCCATAACTGCTGCTACTGGGTCGGGGAAAAGCCTCATTAGGTACAAGAATATCACACAAGATTATTTAAAAATACCTTTTATCATCATGTCGCACACTATGAGATCTACGTCAAGGTATGTTTGATAAACAGTATTCGGAATTTCTCGCAGAATTCAAAATGTCGAACAAAATGCATAGCATTCCATTAGAAAAACAAAAGTTCTGAAAAACTGTAGACTTGGCAACAGCGCGATTTGGCAAAGTGGAGATAAAATGGAACTGAATTGACTCCAATGACAATGTTTTGATAATCATGGCATATAATCCTACAAACAATGTACACATATTTTATTGGATACAATTTGACTTATTAATCAAACCCGGACGAGGGTCCTTCAATATTTGATTGAGTTAGATGGAAATGAATAAGTGTCACCAATCTATTGAGGTAAACAGCATCGGGTAAATAAGCAAGTAAACCAATAAATTACTAAGATACTGTTTACCCCATCTCCTGTAACATCCTTTGGAACCCAATATTGTCTCTTAATATCATTACCAGTTTGACATATTTGCATTAGTAATCTTTGTTGATGATTGCAGGCCTAATTATGGATATGATGACACAACACCTGACATAGATGCCGTTTACCTAGATGCTCAACAAGCAGGAAGATACGGAGTAGATTGTAAAACACTTTTTCCTGATTGTAACATGAGGAGAAGTTTCCTAGATTTGTTTTCTGTCTTAGGTAACGCTGTAAGTGTCTGAAGAAATAAATAAGTTTTCTATGGTACTCGTATTTCTTTGCCCAGTATTTGGACTATTCTATGAAGAACATTCATATTTACCATATCCCATGCACCTGATATGAGGTCATATGCTACATACCTTTCAATTTGCACAATTTATCTTAATACATGGCAGCATCGTAATCGCATAGAAATTACTACTATTACTTTGCAGTACAGTAGCTAAAGCACATCAGAATCTCAAGCTTCCAACTACAAGCTCCATTTTTTTTTGCATTTTCAAAAATATGAGAAACATGAGCCGTATTCATAAAAGAGAAGCATATCCTCGGAAGCATAAGGTAAAAGTATAAGGTCTAAGTATAAGCATATCCTTGTTTTCATATTCATAATGATTACCTTATACTCGCGAGGATATACTCCAAGAAGAAGTGAAAGGTTGACTGGTATTTGTATCTTGAGCGACATGACCTGACTTGTTCCAGCTTGTAGTTGACGTGGGAATTCGTTCACTCAGCATCACTGACAGTTGTATTCCAGAGCTTACACAGACCGTTCCGTATTTTTACTGGATACATTTTTTTATCAAATTGATAAGCATGTCGTCCTCAAGTGATGAGGAAACTATAGAAAATAATGGCAACGACCTGCAGTTCATCGCAGATGAAATCGCCATCGGCCCCATTATTTTGCAAAAGTCACAAGTTCCAAAAATAAAAATGAGAAAGGACGATGCCTTGAAGAAGATGTAGAAAAAATACGAATCAACATTCAGTAAACCATTAGATACTAAAGGCTTATTAAAAAAATCAACAACATGAAATCAAGATTGAAGAAAAAAAAAACAGATCTTAAAATAAAAAAAACTGATAATAGATTGGGAAAGAAAGTTTCTGAAAGCTATGGAATGTTACTGTAATCCTACAATAATTGGTAGTGTTCAAGAAGAAGGAAGTGAACTATATTCAGTGACATATAAATCCGAACACCCAGTTTAAATGGTTCTATTTTAATAAAATTTTGTATAAGAACTTAATGAAGCATAATAAGTAAATGATAAAAATTTCGAAATGATTGCACTGCTTTAAAGCCCTTTGACCTTTAATAATGTGAGGATGCACCCTGATGTGCTACGCATTCTCCAACGCGCCTAGGCATGCTTCTGATCAGGTGGTCAATGTCCTTCTGTGGTATCTCATTCCAGGCAACCACCAACACCTCTCGAAGTGCTTCTAGAGTCTGAGGAGGACGTTGCAAATTGAGCAATCTCCTACCCATCATATCCCACACGTGCTCAATTGGGGATAAGTCGGGAGATCTTGGTGGCCATGGTAACAATGTGACATCATTATGATGAAAGAAGTCTATTGTGACTCTTGCAACATGTGGTCGGGCATTATCTTGTTGGAAAGTTGGATCTGCCAGGGTGTCAAGATAGGGTAAAAGATGGGGTTCTAGAACTTCGTGGATATAACGCTGCGCGTTCATGTTACCTCTGATGAAGATTAAAGGTGACCTGGAACCATAAGCTATAGCACCCCAAACCATAACTCCAACAGTGTGATGAGTATGTCTTTCAACAAAAAACTGTGGATTCCTCCTATCACCACGTCGCCTTCTAACCCTGGCACGACCATCGTGCATGCCTAAAGAAAATCGAGACTCGTCACTAAAGACAATACTGTTCCATTCCTGATCCCAGAGTGACCGTTGTCTGTACCACTTAAGGCGATTACGTCGGTGTTCTCGAGTTAAAGGGAGGACCCAGTGTGGCCGGTATGAAAACAAGCCAAAACTTCTCATTCGTCGGTAAACACTTCGCATGCCAATAGGTCTTCCGTGTTCTGCAAACCATTCATTTGCAATGGACCTGGTAGTGGAGAAACGGTCCCTTAAGGCCAATAATCTTAGGCGGCGATCTTCACGGTCTGTTGTTCTACGGCGGCGTCCAGTGCCCCTTGCTCTTTGTGTACGGCCTTCTCGAAGCCATGCCTGATAACACCTAACCACAGTGTCTTCACTTCTTTGCACTCTAACTGCAATTGCCCGAAAAGAAAGTTCAGCTTCCCGAAGTCCCACTATACGGCCCCTATCAAACTCACAAAGTTGACGAAATCGTACAGGTCTCCGTACTCTAGGCATCGTAACCGATCGTAAAGGTTGTCAAGAACCAAAATCCGCCAACGTTGATTCTTTACTGCGGCTGAAATATTCATTTTTAGAGCGTTAGTGAATTAAAAAAAAAGCAGTATGAAAACCGGAATGTCCAACTGATAAGGCTGAAAATTTTTTCTCTTGTTATTTACAGTAAAATAAATACATTCACCAACTTTTATTGAAATAAAACCATTTAAACTGGGTGTTCGGATTTATATGTCACTTAGTATAATTCCTGGCATAGTGGTAATCTTGCATCCAAGCCTCATCAAAGTCCCAGCTGTACTTTCGATTTGCAAATAAAAGAGGGGTCAAAGCTCAGAGGACAGTCAGCTGTTTACGATATATTACATTAAAGCAAAAAACAATATTTAATTCCCGAAGTTGTTCGCGATTATAGTATTTTCTTACCGATTTGCGGAGAAGTAACAAGTGAACTATGAGGATAACTTCCTGCGGAGTGCACCAAATAAATATTGGTATAAAGCACACGTGTCAAACTACGGTGTACTTACAGCCACCTCTCGACAAACAGAAAGTTGAAGTACCTCTTAAAATTCTTGGGCAATCCGCAACACTCGTGGACTTATCGATTATAAAGTTCACGGGATCACGACTCTGGCTTAAGAGCTGCACGTGTTTTCTTCCGGAAAGTTAAAGTTTCTGGCAACGGGAACCTTTGATGGGAAGTGTATAAGCAAAGCATTCTGATGCGACGATCTACATTTCAGAAGTAGTCCTACATTGTTAGAGAGAGACGAAACTGCAGAGCATATAATCTTGATATAACTCTTTGGCAAGTAAGGAAAAAAAAAGCATGGGTCATATACAGGGTGTTTGGTACATCTGACATGTCTCTGTTATTCTAATCTGTTCGCTGTGACATCTTTTTCAATATCTAGCTTTTTAATAATAGTGAATTATTCAAATGCAGAAATGGCAGAAATGCATTACGTATATGGCCCTTGCCGACAGTAATGGTGAGCAAGCCAGATGGATTTATCACCAGAGATATCGCGATCGTGCTTTGCCAGATATTCGAACCTTTTCTAATATTCATCGTCGTCTTGTTGAAACTGGTTTTGTCCCAGAAGGAACATCTGAAGGTAGACCTCTAAGTGTGAGAACACCTGAAATTGAGGAAGCAGTGCTGCACGAAGTCGAAGAACATCCTGAAACGAGTACGAGGAACATCGCTAGACACAGTATTTGCCATCAACTTGTTTGGAGAATTTTAGTGGATTTTTAGTTATATCCTTACCATATTTTAACAGTACAGGCATTGCTTCCCATTGATTTTCCAAGGCGTGTGATATTTTGTCAGTAGTATCTTCAAAAAATTACACAAAATCCGCAATTTGAGTCAATGATTCTGTTCAGGGAAGAAGCTAATTTTTCTCGAAATGACATTCATTTGTGGGTAGAAGAAAATCCCTATGCCGTAACCGAAACTCATTTCCAACACCAATTTTCGGGTAACGTATGGGCAGAAATTATTGGTAACCACTTTATTGGCCCATTCTTCTTGCCGGGACGACTTGACGCACAGACTTACCTCAATTTTCATCAACAACAGTTGCTTTTGCTGTTTGATGATGTTCCGTTAGTAATAAGAAACAATATGTGGTACATGCATATGGTGCACCAGCTCATTTCAGTGTAGCGGTTCGTAATTATTTACAAACTGTTTATCCAAATCGTTGGATTGGCCGCGGTGGGCCCCAAGAATGGCCACCAAGGTCCCCAGACCTCAACAGTTTAGATTTCTTTTTGTGGGGCTATTTTAAGACACTAGTGTACACAAGTTCCATTAACGCTGTAGAGGCATGAAGAGAAAGAATAGTTGCAGCTTGTGGTATGCGCAATTCCATGAGAAGGAGGGCGGAAGCATGCATACTAAGTGAAGGAGGCCATTTTCAACAATTTTTGTAATCATTTCGTTGGTTTTAATGTTATGTTTATGTTGTCAGTTGTTGTTGTTCATTACCCCTAATGTGTTTTTTGCATTCAAATTAATAATAATTTTGCAGGTTAGACAATAGAACAGTTTTTAGTTTTTTACTCAAAAATGGCGGATCGAAGGAAAACAATTCAAGAGAGATCGTTTGTTTTGAATTGGACGGGAAATTCAGAAATAAATTTTATTTGGCAAAAAACCATTGGCGTACTATTCTTTTCTTAAAAAATATCGAAGTCGATACCCGTACGTAGGTCACTGTTAAAGCTAAGAATTACTTTTGCATTGAAAAATGTGCAACTTCATTAACTTCCACTGCGTACTAAATATCGGTAATATATCTGAAATATTAGCATAGTTTATAAAGCAAACTAACATTAATTTTTCATGTAGATTCACGCCCTTGAATATTCGCATATCATTGAGCAACACCCTGTATACATGTCAATACCTAAGTTTTCATCTGGAAGTCCAAAATATCATCCCTCTTGAAGTTCATCTCCTTATATGCTAACGAGTTTTTTTTTATTTGAGGGATTAAAGCGTCATTTCGGATTCCGCTTAGAAAAACTCAGCCACTGGGTGATAAATGTTTCTGCGACAGCCGGAAGAGCTATTTATCTTGGACACAAAAGAAATTATATATTCGATAAAAAACGTAGCGGGCTTCCGGGAGAGAATCTTCCTTTCGTCAGAATCTGTTGTTCACGGAGAAGTTCGCCCGGGGACAAAAATAATGCTGGTTTCGCGTGTTGCTCGAACCGAAAGCGTGCTATCGACAGGCTTTTTATTCATATTTTTGGATTGAGTAAATTACAGGAATTAGCATTGAGCGGGTTCAATGTGGACTAATTCGTATTTGGGTCAGAAGAGAAACAGCGTCCTAATCTTTATTAAACTTTTTCAATCAGGTTTCACTTCCTATGC